CCTGGGAATTTGGACTGAGAAGTGTATGTGTGTGCGTGCGGGCGTTGACAATAAACACATCCCTAACGAGTTTCCTCGCTCCTTTGCTTCAGCGCTGGAATCCTCCGAGGCCAGGGAACCACTTCCTGGTTCTACCCGCTGGAAAACGCCCGGCAGGGCAGCGAGGCATTTAATCCCCCGGGTGCTCCGTGCATCTCCACCCAGCCAGGTTTCGCCCGGGATTAATTCACGGGGAGGGGGCAGAAATTGAGGTGTGTTTCCCAGAAACAGGGCTTCTGTGGTTAAAATAGGAAGGCTGTTCCGTGTTGGTGTTCAAAACTGAGTCAGAAGGCAGCACCCTTGACAACTGAAAGAGAGACACTGGAAATGCGGCCATCGGACGGACGCCACCAGCCCACGTCCTTGAGGTCTTCCGCCCTGGAGGAGATTCCTTTGAACCAAAGACGTTTACCTTTGGGGACCCTCTTCCCGGACCAACCGCGATGACCAGGAAATGGAGCTTCCATATGTGGAGGCAGTTTACCACAGTTGGGGGTTGAGATCACGTGCTCTCTCTCTCTCTTTTTAAAATATATAAATGTATTAAACAAACATCTGACCTAAACCACGTAAACCTAACACCACAATTACATAATACACCAGATCCACCGTCACCCTCAGGGCTAGCATTAATAATATTTTAAATTTCATTCAATCCATTTTCTCTCCCAAACATCATTGTTTCTTCCCTCAGTGTATACCCCTTTCCCTCTCCAAAATACATATTCCAAGAATACACTCCATATTTTCTTGAAATTGTTAAATTTTTTTTGATAGGCCTCTTCTTATTTTCATATCACATGTCAATTTATCATTAATTGCCATATCCCATAGTTCTCTACCATTCCTCTAAATTGAGTTGGTTATCATTTTTCGAGTTTCTTGCAAAATTTAACCTTGCTGCCATAATCATTATTACTGTCAAGTCCTTATTTTCTTTCAACAATTGATCCTTCTTAACTAAATTCAATAAAGCCACTGATGGGGACATTTGAATATTTAATCCAGTTATTTCCCTTATTTCTTTAAACACTGGCTTCCATTCTTGCTTTCTTAGTTCACAGGACCACCACATATGTATATATGTCCCTTTCTCTTTTTTTACACCTCCAGCATAGTGATGATACATTTTTATTTATTATATTCCGTTCTACCGGCATTAAATACCACTTCCATATTTACCTTACAACAAATTTCTTTTATCTTTACAGACATGTTCTTCATAAGCCTTTGATCCCACATTTTATCCCATTCTTCTCCTCTCACTTCTTCACCTTCGAGTGCTCTTGAGGTCTGGCAGCTTCTGAGGCTTCTAGTCTGAAAGAGTGACTTTTCGAAGCCAACATTTGCATGCTGGGGGACTCTCCAAAAGTAACTGCTAGTAGCCAGCAACCCAAAAAAGAGGCATTTTTTGGGGGGGGGACAGCAGGAAGCCTGTTCTCTACCTTGGCCCACGTGTGACCTCTCTCTGGCGCACACCCCTCTGCCTGAAGCTCAGGATCAGTTCTGGAGGGAGGAAAGGATATCATGCCTTGTATTCTGCATGGTAGGGGTTTTTTGGGGGGCTCTGCCAAAATCTGTTCCCTGGGCCTGCAGCTGGCTAGCTTTCCAGGTACTCAAGGCCCAGCCAATGTCAGCACACCCCCCTCCACACCTCAGCTGCCAATCCTTCCCTTCCCAATGTGGGCAACCTACATTTCTTACAGTCCTCTTAAAGGAACCGTCCTTTCCACCCTTGCCTCAAAACAGACTCCTTGGCTTTTAAACCAGGAGAAGTCCAGCCATTGCAATAGATGGCCCGCATTCTGGCTAGCCAAGAGCCTTTCTGGTGCAGTTGGTGGGAGGGTCAGACCAGGAACTCGGAAGACCTGGGTTCAAATTCCCTCGGGGAGTGACAATGGGGAAGCCACTCCTTGAACATCTCACATCGCTCAAACATGTTCTTAGGGTTGCCAGAAGTGGGAAGAGTCTCAGTGGCACAGAACAACAGGAGGGCCTGAGCAATAGCTACAGAGGCGAGACCCCGGCTGCAGAACCCCACGGGGCAATCGGAGAAGGTGCCAGTCGGAGGGTCTGGTCTCGAAGGACCCCTGCCTCATCAGCTGGCCACACCGGCTGCTTCCGTTGGAGCTGTGCCCACACAGAAGCAGGTGACAGGTCCTGCCGGCCACTGATTGCAGGTGGAGTCCTACCGTCCACCAGACAGAGTTGCAGTGTGTGTGTGTGTGGGGGAGGAAATGGAGTGATGTGGGATTGCGCAGAGCTGGGAAAATCGGCTTTTTAGCCCTTCTGCTTCCAGGAGTCAGGAGGCTGTCTGGGGAATTGGACACCACCCCCCCGCCAAAGACGTCCCAGCCCTGCAAGCTATCTATGGAGTGATGTGGGATTACGCAGAGCTGGGAAAATCGGCTTTGTAGCCCTTCAGCTCCCAGGAGCCAGGGGGCTGTCTGGGGAATTGGACACCCCACCACCAAAGACGTCCCAGCCCTGCAAGCTATCTACATCCAGACCAAGGGACGGGGTGGGTGGGTGGAGGCGGAGATGAATGTGGGCCCAGCTGGAAAGCTGCCTGCCTGTCAGTGGAGTTATGTCCCCTGACTGTTCCTCCTCCGACTGGCCATTTACATTTAAAGTAGGTACAAAAAGGCCGTTATACAATTTAGAATACCCCTACAGGTCCTGGATCTTTAAAGAAGCTTTAAAAAAAAGAAAAAAAGAAAAGAAAGGTACAACATTCCACCAATCGAGATCCCAAATGAGGAGTGAAAATGCCCCCCCCAGCCGGGCCCTGGCCCGCTGCCTGGGCCAACTGCCTCCAACTGCCACCCCCCCCCAAGAACTTCTCTTCCGCAGCTTCTGTCCCGGAACCTCCAGGAAAGCCCACCCCGCCCGGAGCGCCACATTCCGGGAGACAGGTGAGCTCCTCCGCTCTCTGGTCAGCCTCGGGGTCCATGGCCGGCTTGCACGGGGAGGTGACAGCGGGCAAGGCCAGGAAATGAACCCGGGTGACGGGGAGATGGGAAGTGCCATCTTTGGCCCCCCTGACCCTGCGGGTTCCATGTTCGTGTGTCTGGTCAACAAACACTGCGCTTGGAGAGAAGGGTTTGAGGCCACCCAACCCTTGGCAAGGGACACTTTCTCATCCTTCCTTTGCTGACAGGATTCAAGGCATTCCACTTTTGCAGTTTTTGTGAGGGCGAGATGTGGGGAATGAGGGTGCCCAAGGGTGGGGGGCATCTGGGTAAGACTGGCTAAGACTCATCCTCAAGGCTTGGCAGCTGCTTTGAACACAGGAGGGCCCTACTTTGGGGGGGGGG